TCTCTTTGGATTTGGGACTTTAGTCTTTGCAACTTTACAGATCTTTACAGATCAGAGCTTGTAACACTCCAAAGAGAAAGGAAAAATTGAAATCGCATCATATGACCCCTTTAATGGCAGCTGATGGCATCTTGCCAAACAAGGCAGATTTTGTGTGTGAGAGAAACAGAGAAAGTGATCAAGAATATTGTGAATTCTCTTAGAGCTGTCGGATGCACAGTGCTATTTCAAGTTACAAGATATGTTGTTAAAACCATATAATGTTACTATTACTATGTGGTAGTGCTATATTTTGGTACTAAATGTATGCAGTAGGGGAAAATGTGTAATTGTATTTTGAGGTTGTGGGGATGGGGTTGGTGGAACATGTTATATGATGAATTAAATTAATTATAAACTGTTACCTTTTCTTTTGGACTTACATTAAATCACATGTTGTATAATTGTGAATATGTCATTACAATCATAAACAAAAATGCATTTTTTTTCAATTTAAAATGTCACAGACTAAATAAAAGTATTTTTCAGGATTCATGTGTGAAATGTGGTGTTGGAAACATGAGAGTGTGTAGTGACTCAATCATGTTGTTCCCTCTGTATGTATAGAACACAAGACCTAATTCCCAGAGTTCCACACTTCTGCTAACATTTGTCCCTCTGCTGCCAGATCTGCACACTCATGGTAAAAGAAGATGACATACATCTTGTCAAATTCCACTGTCCTGCTATGCAACAAGAGTTGTTGGCTCATAGCATATTTTTAGTTGACTAATTATATTTTTACTTGTTAATCAAATACATTGGCATGTACAAATACTATTGCTTTTTATTAGATTTTTTTTTACAACAAAAATAATAATTTTTTTTGGTAGAGATATTGAATAAAACATCAATATCTCTTCCTCTGGAATAAATCAAGGCTGTGACCCAAAGGGACCACCTGTACAATTACAACATTTCCCACATTTTCACTACTCTCCGGCACCATATCTTAAACATTTGAATTGTGAAAGCCACTTAAATTATTAAAATAATTTTGCATGTGGGGAGGTGGGATGAGGGATGGAAGTGTTATATGTTATACAATTTACTGACATTGCCAGCTGAGGAGACGTCTTAAGTTCATGTTTCCATAAGTCACAGCACCTTTGCTCAGCACCCATTTCCATCATGTCCACGTTCCCAAAGGGAATGACACAAATCCCTAGAGTCAGCACGGGGAGCTGTGCCTCAGCTGTTCAGTGTCTTCATTCAAAGAAGACTGGGCACCAAACCCTTAACAGATTATTTCAAGAACTCTATGTCCTCAGTGTATTTCTGTAACCACAGGTGTTACTGTATATCAAGATACATAGGCCCCTCTGACCTCCTCTAGTGGAACTGAAGGGGTGTGCCAATGGAATCCCTTGGTCATGTGAACACTAGTCACGAGGCTGAAAGTCCATCCCCGAGTTCCTCATTTGGTGATTATTCCTCAATTACGAACCTTCATTAGGGACCCTATGAACAAAACAATTAACCTGAATATTTGCATGACAGTTATGATAAATATAGGCATTTATCAGGATTTCTACCTGTGAAATGGACCCTTGATTCTGACTCTTTGTCCCAGACAATTTTTGTCCTGTAACAAAGAAAGAAAATGATGCTTATATTAAACTTGTTAAAAACTCTTGTTTGAACTTTAAAATATCTAACGTGTGCAAAAATACTGGCCATATAAGGATGTCAAGCATAAATATTGCATATTTATTCCAGATAAAAGCACCTTTTGACGAACAAATTTCCACAACTTTCTTTTTGCTTTTTAAGATCTTATTGATCTTTACTTTTCCAGGCCCAGAAATCAGAAATGTAAAATTCACAGTTTTCCATATTTCCACTTCAAGAACCCTAAGAAAAATTTATGAACTTTATTAACTGTTATATGTTAAGTGGATACAATTTGAAAAGGCTTTATTTTTTAATACATTTTAAATAAAAAATAAAATAAAAATGGCATTTTATTTAGTAATCCCCCAACTAAGCTATTTCACATAACAGATGTTTATATACAGTCCACAAGACAAACTAACTACATTTTAAATTAACCCGTAATTATTTTGTATTTTCACCCTACTAAATAAGACAAAACAAACTGCATTTTTTTATCCCTCTTTACTAATTCTGCAAGGGATGTATGATCAGGGTTGGATGTTAAAATTGACAGTTGTCAAACAGAACGAAAAGTGCAGTGATTCAAGAAAAGTTTGATTCTGTCAGCTCAGACTCATTCAGTGTAACCGTCTCAGAGCTTTGAGTCAGTGATGCCAAAACCAGGCAGACGTACAGATGATCTTTACTCACCAGCGCTCCTAGAAAAAGGATTGATCCCACTGAGTTGGGGCTGTGATGCCTTTGGGATGAGTGGAGGAGGAGAAGGGAAAGGAAAGTTGGCTGTTGATTCCTAACAAGAAACAGAAAAAAAAAATAAAATTGTTACTTGACTGCAAACGAGGCTCAGTGAAAAAAGGTGCATCATTAATACTGTCAGTATATAGTGCTCCCAAAAAGTATCTGAATACGTCTGCCATCCTTAAATGTCTGTAAAATCAATTTTGGTTGAAAACTGTGATATTTTTGCTTTATAATGTGGGTAAGTAATCCAATTGCTTTTTAGGACCACTGTATGGATATAGAACACAAGACCTAATTCCCAGAGTTCCACACTTCTGCTAACATTTGTCCCTCTGCTGCCAGATCTGCACACTCATGGTAAAAGAAGATGACATACATCTTGTCAAATTCCACTGTCCTGCTATGCAACAAGAGTTGTTGGCTCATAGCATATTTTTAGTTGACTAATTATATTTTTACTTGTTAATCAAATACATTGGCATGTACAAATACTATTGCTTTTTATTAGATTTTTTTTTACAACAAAAATAATAATTTTTTTTGGTAGAGATATTGAATAAAACATCAATATCTCTTCCTCTGGAATAAATCAAGGCTGTGACCCAAAGGGACCACCTGTACAATTACAACATTTCCCACATTTTCACTACTCTCCGGCACCATATCTTAAACATTTGAATTGTGAAAGCCACTTAAATTATTAAAATAATTTTGCATGTGGGGAGGTGGGATGAGGGATGGAAGTGTTATATGTTATACAATTTACTGACATTGCCAGCTGAGGAGACGTCTTAAGTTCATGTTTCCATAAGTCACAGCACCTTTGCTCAGCACCCATTTCCATCATGTCCACGTTCCCAAAGGGAATGACACAAATCCCTAGAGTCAGCACGGGGAGCTGTGCCTCAGCTGTTCAGTGTCTTCATTCAAAGAAGACTGGGCACCAAACCCTTAACAGATTATTTCAAGAACTCTATGTCCTCAGTGTATTTCTGTAACCACAGGTGTTACTGTATATCAAGATACATAGGCCCCTCTGACCTCCTCTAGTGGAACTGAAGGGGTGTGCCAATGGAATCCCTTGGTCATGTGAACACTAGTCACGAGGCTGAAAGTCCATCCCCGAGTTCCTCATTTGGTGATTATTCCTCAATTACGAACCTTCATTAGGGACCCTATGAACAAAACAATTAACCTGAATATTTGCATGACAGTTATGATAAATATAGGCATTTATCAGGATTTCTACCTGTGAAATGGACCCTTGATTCTGACTCTTTGTCCCAGACAATTTTTGTCCTGTAACAAAGAAAGAAAATGATGCTTATATTAAACTTGTTAAAAACTCTTGTTTGAACTTTAAAATATCTAACGTGTGCAAAAATACTGGCCATATAAGGATGTCAAGCATAAATATTGCATATTTATTCCAGATAAAAGCACCTTTTGACGAACAAATTTCCACAACTTTCTTTTTGCTTTTTAAGATCTTATTGATCTTTACTTTTCCAGGCCCAGAAATCAGAAATGTAAAATTCACAGTTTTCCATATTTCCACTTCAAGAACCCTAAGAAAAATTTATGAACTTTATTAACTGTTATATGTTAAGTGGATACAATTTGAAAAGGCTTTATTTTTTAATACATTTTAAATAAAAAATAAAATAAAAATGGCATTTTATTTAGTAATCCCCCAACTAAGCTATTTCACATAACAGATGTTTATATACAGTCCACAAGACAAACTAACTACATTTTAAATTAACCCGTAATTATTTTGTATTTTCACCCTACTAAATAAGACAAAACAAACTGCATTTTTTTATCCCTCTTTACTAATTCTGCAAGGGATGTATGATCAGGGTTGGATGTTAAAATTGACAGTTGTCAAACAGAACGAAAAGTGCAGTGATTCAAGAAAAGTTTGATTCTGTCAGCTCAGACTCATTCAGTGTAACCGTCTCAGAGCTTTGAGTCAGTGATGCCAAAACCAGGCAGACGTACAGATGATCTTTACTCACCAGCGCTCCTAGAAAAAGGATTGATCCCACTGAGTTGGGGCTGTGATGCCTTTGGGATGAGTGGAGGAGGAGAAGGGAAAGGAAAGTAGGCTGTTGATTCCTAACAAGAAACAGAAAAAAAAAATAAAATTGTTACTTGACTGCAAACGAGGCTCAGTGAAAAAAGGTGCATCATTAATACTGTCAGTATATAGTGCTCCCAAAAAGTATCTGAATACGTCTGCCATCCTTAAATGTCTGTAAAATCAATTTTGGTTGAAAACTGTGATATTTTTGCTTTATAATGTGGGTAAGTAATCCAATTGCTTTTTAGGACCACTGTATGGATGAACAGAAGAAATGTATTTACAACTTGGAAAATGTATCAGGTTCAAGTCACTTTGATGAATGTAATGAGTGTAAAAAAGGATACTTATTCCATGCAAGACAAAATTAACTTGAATAGCTAACTTCTCCAAATAATTTCAATTATTGAAATACTGACTATAGAATATGGCAGTTTAAAGGTGCCATGGCACAAATGGTTAATTTTTTATAATTGACAAGGGTTTCAGTTTTTCCTCTTTTCCGCCACATGATTAGTGAATATAGTTATTTTATACAGCAGTTTATGACATGTTCTGATTTAGATCTTTTCTATCACAAACTTCCTTAGACTGTTATTTTTTGATAGGAAATGTAAGAGCATTTACCCTAGTGGTGGGTTTGGGTTCTGGGATTTGTTCTTTTGGGTCTTCTTTAGGCTTAGACTTGAACCAGCCACTGAACCATCCAGGCTTAGAGGGCTGTTCAGAGATTAAATAATACAACAATTAAAAAAATAAATAAAAATAAAAGTACAGAGGAAATCGTGTAAATATTTGATGTAATATACCTTTGCTGATTGTGTGCTGGACTCTCTCTGGTTGTCCTGATAAGGAATTGTCCCGGACTGATTAACACTACCAACCATAGCGTCGTTTTCAGCAGCACCCTGTGTGAATGGTTCAGAGGTGATGCGTGTAATTTTTTGTGTTAAAATACTTCCTACAATCTCTATTAAACATACAGACACAACTTCACTAAGGTTTTTCTCAAACTTAAAAATGAAAATTAACTGAAATCTCTTTTTCTCACCATTATTGCACCAGCAGAAAAGTCACCATCTTAGAAAACAAAAGGTAAAGGTTTAGTATTAATAATATTAAATATTAATAATTGGTGTTTGAAATATTTACACTACTGTTTAAAAGTTTGGGGTGGGTAAGATTTATTTATGTTCTTGAAATAAGTCTCTTATGACCACCAAGGCTGCATTTATTTGATCAAAAATTTAGTCAAAACAGTAATACTGTGAAATTTTAAAGTAACGTTTTTCGATTTTAATATATTTTATTTAAATTGTAATTTATTCCTGAGATGGCAAAGATGAATTTCAGCAGCCATTACTCCACTTTTCAGTGTCACGTAATTCTTCAGAAATCATTTTGATATGATTTTTTTGGTTCTTAAGAAACATTTCATATTATTATCAGTGTTGAAATCGGTTGTGCTGATTAATATTGTTTTGGAAACCATAAGGTTTTTTGGGATTCCTTGATGAATAGAAAGTTCAAAAGAACAGTATTTTTTATAGAATTCATTGGAACATCATAAATGTCTTTACTGTCACTTTTGATCAAATTTTGAATGGCGGTGTAGAAGAACGATATTGAAGAACGATATACTGTATAAATTGTGTCATACTGATTCTGTCATCCATAGTCATCCTAACCTGTATCATTGTAGCTTCTTGTAGGCAAAGTAGAAGCAGCAGTGTAAATGTTATCATTTTTACTGCTGCTATCAAGATTAGAGTAGCTTTGGTCCATTGAAACTTGTGGAGGCCCAGACATTTCCATAGGGAAGACTGGGTGCAGTGTCATTGGCTGCTGGGTCGGGTACAGTGGCACTGGGGCCACGGTCTTAGGAGCCTGTTCTTCAGAAGAGTAAGAGTGGCTCACTGTAGAGTAAGACTCCTGAAACCCGGCATCAGTGTTAGGTATCATGGATTGAGGTGGGTTTGAGGTTTCGTTTTCAGTGCTAGTGTGGTTAACGGCATCTGTCTGGAAGCCTTCTGTAAAATCTACAGAGAAGCCAGGAGAGAAAACACAAAATGTTTTACTGCATACTGACAAACTGTTAACACTTTTCTCCTGCACATTAACAATGTTCTAAAATTACGGGCAACACTGATAGACTTTCCGAGTTTCATTGCCACCTAGTGGCTCAGAGAAAGTTTCATGGGCACATAGTCAAAAAGATCTGGCAAATGTTTTAAACCTGAAAACGTGTTGCTCTCCTCATGACTCCAAGTAGTCTCCCCAACTGGTGACTGATATGCTTCATTACAGTAGCTCTCCTCCTAATAAAATAAACATTTTACTGAGAGTGGAACCAGGGGAAAGGTCACAACATTGGTGATTAAGAGCAGCCTCTAAAGATGTGTAGGGCCCCATTTATACCTGGTACAAAATCAGACATACCACCTCTCCCAGAAGGTCCAGGAGCCTTGCGCTATTGATAGCCTGATAGCTTCCTGACGTCTGCAAATTATATATAACGCCCTGTTTCTAGAGCATTAAAGTGCATTTTTTGGTGATTCAATCACAAGTTGTCAGTCCAGATGCATTTACCATTTCCACCTGGTATACATGCGTTTTAAATTTAAATTTGTCTCATTTGACCATTTCTGGTTGGAATTCATCACACTTTACATCTCCTTTGCAAGAGCTCTGAGTGCAGCGCATGAATACTAACCAAACCGGGTAATGCAACTTATGAATGAGCAAAAGGAGAAGAGAGGACAGCAGTGACTTTGGTGCTAATGTCATTTAAATTTAAATTAGCTGACTATCTGTTAAGGAGATACTGTATTCATGTACTATGTGATGAGGCATAAAATCTCCTATTATATTTTATGTGACCCTGGACCACAAAACCAGTCATAGGTAGAACGGATATATTTGTAGCAATAGCCAAAAATACATTGTATGGGTGTTCCATGAAGAGATTTTGTAAATTTCCTACCATAAATATATCAAACTTAATTTTTGATTAGTAATATACATGCTAAGACTTTATTTGGACAACTTTAAAGGTGATTTTCTCAATATTTAGATTTTTTTGCACCCTCAGATTCCAGATTTTCAAATAGTTGTATCTCGGCCAAATATTGTCCTATCATAACAAACCATACATCAATGGAAAGCTTATTTATTCAGCAAATCTCAATTTTAAAAAATGTACCCTTATGACTGATTTTGTGGTCCAGGGTCACATATTATATTATATTAGAGGCATATTATAATGCAATACTCTATATATTTAGGTGAGGCTACCTCCCTGAAATTACTTTTTGCAGGGTGGGATGTCCGCTACATCCATATAGAATGATCATGTTTTAGTTATAAATACAGCTAAAAATGGGTTCCAAAACATTTCCACAGAAACCACGTATGGAGGTAAACAAACAAAACAATTTTTATTTAGTTGGATTTATATATATATGACCACTTGTGACCGTTTCACCCAAGATGGATGTCAATACCAGGTATAAACAGGACCTGAAGGTGAGCAAGCACCATGGGTAATGAAAAACGTTAGTGTGGTCTGTACATTGAGTTCCATATGGATAGTATTAAGTCTTGCTATAAACAGTCCTGCTGATCTTAAAGTGGACTAATGACTATCATATATACTGTACAAACTTTGGGTTTACCAGCATGGCCTGGCGTCTGCAGCGAATCTGCACCAGCCAGTCGGGATCCAGGAAAGGCTGACCTGTGTCACTGAGCTGTGCCTCGGAGAACTTCAGTCTGTCCACCAACTGTGATAGCAAACAAATCAAACAGATCACAAAACACTTTTCAATGCATACACAGAAAAAACAAAAGCACTGTATGTGCAGGTGCGTGTTACTTTAATAAGCTCTCCCTGCAACACCACATGGGGTTCCTCTATCTTGAGCAGAGCTTTTGCCACCACCTCACAGTAGTGGAAAGCCTGAGAAACCAGACCACAGTCCAACAACCGGCATGCATATAGGAATTTATACACCTACACAGAACAAAACACAATAATAACTGTGCAATAGATAAAACACACTGAATCATAGTAATACATCAAAAAACAAATGTGAAACAATCATATGATCTAAATAATTTTAAAATTAAGTAGCGCTTATGACCATATAAAATACTGACCTATACAAATCTGACATAAATAGTCATAAATTAGGATATACAGAGAGGTCCAGAATTCTGGATCGCAATGATGCGATTTCAAGTTTTCCTTTCTCTTTGGAGTGTTACAAGCTCTTGGTGCATAAAGAAGATCTGTAAAGTTGCAAAGACTAAAGTCTCAAATCCAAAGAGATATTCTTTATAAAAGTTAAGAGTCAACCACGCCTACCTAAAACGGCTCATTCTAACACGCCCCCACATATCTACGTCACTATGTGGAAATATTAGCATAATGCCGCCCAAATGTGCACGCAAAGAAAGAAGGCGTGGTTTCAGGAACAGCAGTCATGTTGATGCAGCCATGTCAGGGAGACAC